TATTTCTTGATGACCTTGTTTTTATACAGGAATGCAGTACAGGGCGGATCATTGGTACCGGACGTGAATCAGATGGACTATATTACCTTATCCTTGCAAAATCACATGGACTCATATCTTGTCTTCCTTCAATAACTTGTCCCATTACTGATTCACCAGATTTATTACATAAACGGTTGGGACATCCCAGTTTGTCAAAACTTCAGAAAATGGTACCTAGCTTATCTCACTTGTCCACTCTAGAGTGTGAGTCATGTCAGCTCGGTAAGCATACTCGCTCCCATTTCCCGCGGCGCCTTGATAATCGAGCACAGTCACCTTTTACTTTAGTCCATTCAGATGTTTGGGGGTCCTAGTTGGGTCAGTTCTACCTTGGGATTCCGCTACTTTGTCAGTTTCATTGATGATTATTCCACGTGCACTTGGATATTTTTGATGAAAAATCGATCTGATTTGTTTTCTATTTTCCAAACCTTCCATGCTGAAATTCAAAATCAATTTGGGGTTTATGAACTCCCATGGGATTATTCATCAAATATCTTGTCCGTACACATCCCAACAAAATGGGGTAGCTGAAAGAAAGAATAGACATCTTATTGAAACTGCTCATACCCTACTCATACAATCTCATGTTCTGTTGCATTTTTGGGGGGATGCAGTTCTTAGTCTTGCTATCTTATTAATCGTATGCCATCTTCAGCTATCCAGAATCAAGTTCCATTCTCTGTCCTGTTTCCCCACTTACCTTTATTCTCTCTTCCACCCCGTGTCTTTGGGAGTACGTGTTTTGTTCAATACCTTACTCTAGGAAAAGATAAGTTAGCTCCTCGTGCTCTTAAGTGCATATTTCTGGGTTACTCGAGAATGCAAAAGGGATATCGATGTTATTCTCCTGACCTCCAGCGGTTTCCTATGTTTGTTGATGTTACCTTCTTTGAAACCCAACCATACTTCACAGGTCCAGTTAATCACTTAGATATTTCTGAGGTGCTACCAGTTCCGTCTTTTGGAGATTCAGTCACTATCCCCATTCATCTTACTCCACAGCTCCACCACCTATAGCTCCAGTACCACCACTGAGTCCAGTGCCACCACCTAGTCTACTTCCACCAACTATAGCTCCAGTGCCACCACCGAGTCCAGTGCCACCACCTAGTCCAATTCCACCAACTATAGCTCCAGTGCCACCATTTAGTCCAGTTCAACCTTCTACTGCTCCACCACTCCTGACTTATCATCGTCGTCCGCATCCAGCATCAGGCCCAGCTGATTCACGTTTTGCACCTGACCCTGCTAATACTGTGGATTTGTCTCCTTTAGATCAACCTATTGCACTACGAAAAGGTATACGGTCCACACTTAATCCTAATCCTCATTATGTCGGTTTAAGTTACCACCGTCTGTCATCATCCCGTTGTGCATTTATGTCATCTTTGTCCTCTGTTTCTATACCTAAGTCTATAGGTGAAGCACTGTCTCATCCCGGGTGGCGACAGGCTATGATTGACGAGATGTCTGCTTTACATACGAGTGGTACTTGGGAGCTCGTCCCTCTTCCTTCAGGTAAATCTACTGTTGGTTGTCGTTGGGTGTATGCAGTCGAACTTAGTTCAGATGGTAAGGTTGATCGTCTTAAGGCTCGTCTTGTTGCCAAAGGATATACTCAGATATTTGGGCTCGATTACAGTGATACTTTCTCTCCCGTGGCTAAAATAGCATCAGTCTGCCTTTTTCTATCCATGGTTGCTGTTCGCCATTGGCCTCTCTATCAGTTGGACATTAAGAATGCTTTTCTTCATGGTGACCTTGAGGATGAAGTTTATATGGAGCAACCACCTGGGTTTGTTGCTCAGGGGGAGTCTCGTGGCCTTGTATGTCGGTCGCGCCGGTCCCTCTATGGTCCAAAGCAGTCTCCTCGAGCCTGGTTTGGTAAGTTCAGCACAGTTATTCGAGAATTTGGCATGATTCAGAGTGAAGCTGATCACTTTGTATTTTATAGACATTCTGCTTCAAATCTCTGTATTTATCTGGTCGTTTATGTTGACGATATTGTTATTACCGGCAATGATTAGGATGGTATTAGTAAGTTGAAGCAACATCTCTTGCAACACTTTCAAACTAAGGATCTGGGCAAACTAAAGTATTTTCTGGGTATTAAGGTAGCTCAGTCCAGCTCAGGTATTGTGATCTCACAACGGAAGTATGCCTTAGATATTCTTGAAGAGACAGGATTGACATGTTGTATACCGGTTGACACTCCGATGGAGCCAAATTCTAGACTTCTGCTAGGACAGGGGGAGCCTCTTAGCGATCCTGCAAGATATAGACGGTTGGTTGGTAAATTAAATTACCTTACAGTGACAAGACCTGACATTTCCTTTTCTGTGAGTGTTGTGAGTCAATTTATGGATTCTCCGTGTGATAGTCATTGGGATGCAGTTGTTCGCATTCTTCGGTATATAAAATCAGCTCCAGGCAAAGGTTTATTGTTTGAAGGTCGAGGCCATGAGCAGATCGTTGGATACTCAGATGCTGATTGGGCAGGATCACCTTCTGATAGACGTTCTACGTCTGGATATTGTGTCTTGGTAGGAGGAAATTTGGTGTCCTGGAAGAGCAAGAAACAGAATGTGGTTGCTCGGTCTAGTGCAGAAGCAGAATATCGAGCAATGGCTATGGCGACATGTGAGCTAATTTGGATCAAACAGTTGCTCAAGGAGTTGAAATTTGGTGAGATTAGTCAGATGGGACTTGTATGTGATAATCAAGCTGCTCTTCATATTGCGTCAAATCCAGTGTTCCATGAGAGAACTAAACACATTGAGATTGACTGTCACTTTGTTAGAGAAAAGATACTCTCGGGAGATATTGCTACAAAGTTTGTGAAGTCGAATGATCAGCTTGCAGATATTTTCACCAAGTCCCTCACTGGTCCTCGTATTAACTACATATGTAACAAGCTTGGTACATATGATTTATATGCACCAGCTTGAGGGGGAGTGTTAGAATAGTCATGTAAATAGGAGTAAATAAATAACCCTAATCCAATATATGTTAGGAGTAGGACATGTTATGTGTGTATATATATAGGGCTCATTGTAACATATGTATAGACATCAATAATATATTTTCTCCCGTGCTTTCTCACAAGCTTCTTAAAGGCTAACCCTACTAGCAAGAGTGATACACATAAAAAGTGGGTCAGTGGTGGAATAGTTTAAGTGTCTCTAAAGACTAAGAGCGGGATTGGAAGGTTATTATTGTACTTCAACTAGTCTCCTCTGCAATAATCTAACTCCACCATAACTATGATATAGCATTTAAGAGTAGAACTTCAGCAGAGAATACAGAATGTAATGTCAGAAAAGTGCAGGTACAAAGAGCAGGTCAGACTATTTTCTTTTTAATGAAATCGCATAAGTCCCCATTACCATATAGAAATCTTATTCTAAGAATAACCACAGTTTGACACATCAAAGCCCTGATTATCAAAAAATTTGAAAACAAGACAAGGATGCACCTTCAATAAAACATACCAAGCTTAATATCAAGTACTACCTCAAGTTTTTTGCTAATTTCTAGTGTATTCTGAAGAATCAGCACAAAGTACTCACAAGTCACACCCTTTTCATACCCATATTACTCACGCCCTATCATACCCCTTTTCACAACCAATCGACGGGGTACGTCAAGACAAATGAAGAATCCGCGTAACATAGAAAACAAGTGTCTATTTCTCACAAATTCATTTTCAGAAGCATAAGAATGAAATAGGTAAATACCTTGGGGCGAGTAAACCCACGGTCAAGAAAAGCTTCATTAGTAAGGGTATCTGCTTTCACACTCTCCGGAAGCTTAGTTATTTTCGCCTCGCTCTTCTTTACAAGATCCCTAGTTCTGAATATATGATTAAGCTGCAAGACATGATTCCCTCAAATAATCAAGACATGGTTGCAATATTGGATATGAACTACATCACTCAAAATAGGACAAAGAAATTAGGGTGAAAAGAAGTCAAGCAGATGCTCTTTCTCAAAAAAAACAAAAAAGTTAAGCAGATGCTCTTACAGAATGCATAACATAAGCATCCATGGTACTTGAATCTTCTTCTAGACCTTTGAGATAGAAGGGTTTCTTGTTGTGGTGCAAAATATCCCGGTAGCTGTTGCCTACATGAATAAAGGGAGTAATAGCAATTACAACACTAGTAAATAGCAGGACAAGAAACGGAAAGTAATACATGGACAGCGAGATAAAATCCACCAGGTTAACCACAAAAGGGGTGCCACAAGAATAAGTCAAGTATGAATACGTAGTCAAGCATGTTTACTTTTTTGCAATAAGCCAAGTTTAAAGAAGTGATATTTTTTGCAGCATTATAAGTGGATGTTCACCTATCAAGAATAACAGCACTACAAGTGGACCTCCATGTCCAATGGACCATTTGGCAGATCAATTAGGGATTTTTTAGTCTTCTTATTTTAATTTTTTTTTAACTGGGGGGTGGGGGTAATTATAGTGTTCGGACCAGCTTGCCTTCAGCTCGACCAATCCACCTGGCCTACTGCAATACACAAGCATAAGTGTCCCCCACAAAAGCTGCAGAAGATGGACTCACACTGAGGTTTGTTGTGAAGATTCAAATCTGGAGATCCTCTGTCCTCAACCAAGCCAACCTCACTCTCTATCCTCCATCCATTTTCTTTTTCATTTTTTTTACTACTTTGCCCAATTACATGTATATAAATATTTCACTTGGTACAATTTCAGTTTGTGTAAAGTTTACAAAATCAAATACATATATAACTCCACAAGTATTTTTGCCACTAAATGACATAGTAGCTGATAATGCAGCCAAGGACATCTCTAAACCGCTGATGATCTCTTTTTTTGCTCTACTTATACCACAAGATTAACTCAAATTCATTACTCTACTTTTACTGATAACCAAATTCATTGCTCTACTTTAACTTCACCAAATCACACCTAGTAGGAAACACAACTTCAGTCAAAAATATGTGCTGCTATAAAACCACAACTATCAATGTGGAACCACATAACATCAAGAAACAAGTGACACAACCATTCGATTGACAAACTGAAAGAAAATAAGGTGCTGGAGTCACACTAATGATCTACTCTGAGGGTTGCGGACTGTGATTGATATATCTTCCACAAGTCGTTGCAAACTAACTAAGAAACAGGCACATAGTTCTATCCACCAATCATCAAACCGCAGGCAACAGATATTTGATAAGTCTAATACGAGTAAATGACCAAAACAAACGATGGGCTTTACTTACAGAGGGAGAAAAATAATCTCTGTTTTGATGAATCAAAATCGGAGCCTCCAGCCTTCTCATAGATACCTAACCAATGCTTGTATAGTGCCGGCTTCAAGCCATGAAATAAGAAGCCGTCTAGCTCCTGCAGAATAGCAATGCAACTTCTTGTATAGGAAGATCGTTGTGGAAAAGCAATGCATAAAATTAAAACAGTTGAACGTATTGATGTAGCATAGAGCAGTGCAGTTAGATATTGTGAGGTTTCCTCTACTCAGCAATGCAACAAAAGATATTCCTTTGTGAACCTAACACAGTCACCTACGGAATATGACCTAAACTCATCCATTAAGTATCAAAAAACATGGTACACAGATAAATTAATACAAATACAGGGAGCAATATTTTAGAAAAGAGAGTTCTTGATTGTCGATATCCTTAACAGCCTTAAGTTGTTTATCCCAAAAAGAAACACAGAGAACGCTCACACAAGTTTAGACCAATGGATATTACAAGGACAAATTCAAAAAAGAGCTGCAGAGTAACTAGACAAGCACTACAATAAGTATTACTACACCTTCAAGTTTGAAGCTTGATCACAAATAATTGGAATTGACAGGTATCTAAAAAAAAGGCAGACGCAAGATGAGAATTGATACCAGAATCCTAGAAAACCCCTAAAAAAAATTGGAATCCCTACCAAATGGACAAGAATTATAAAACTCCGGCAACAGCATTGTCCATGAACTACTTTTTTTGGGGGGGATGAAGGAGAAATCCCTCCGGGCCAACCCTTAGGGCTAATCGCCGCCGTGGAAACTCGGGGATAAGGAGCCCGTCCCTCTACCCTTCTCCAATTAAATACCAGTCTTAATTCGCATGGTACAGGGCTTGAACATGTGACTAAGTTACAAGTCCTTTAACATCTGCCACTTGAACTAAGCCCTGGGGACGCACTGTTCATGAACTATTTTCTGTTCCTTTTGAAAAATAGACAAATAAATCCAAGAAGATTTTAAGCAGGACACCACTTTCACATTATTTGGACCAAAAATACTCTATAGATTTATTGCCAAATTTTCCATGAAAATGGATGTTAGGTCCAGCGAAGTTATGTGTTGCTCCAACAATTCTGCAATGAATTATGGAAAATCACAGACCACTATCTATTTATTTACCAAACTCATATTACTTGAGCATAGCCTAATAGACCTTCTGCCCAGAATATAAGAGATGAAAGAATGGAGAACTAAAACAACCGAGCGCAAAGACAGGTTCGAGTTCTATGAAGCAATCAACGATAGAATAAGGAAGCATAGCAATATGCAAAAAAAAAAAAAAAAAAAAAAAAAGGACAAAGCTACCTTCAGAAAACACTCGCCTGTCCCTCTCCACTTGCAATTTGACATGGCTACCACCCATTTGTAAGTCCATTTCTTTTTCTGTAGCATGTCAACCTCTTCTTTGGATAACTTGTGATCCAAATGAGAGTGAAATGAGCTGCATGCATGGAAAGAACATGTTAGGTTAAGAATTTTCATAACTTCTTCTGTCTTATAAAATCTTTCCTCAACCATCAAACTAGATTTGGATCTGGATCAGTCCAATTGCCTTTAGATTATTCTTACCCTATCTTCTCCTTCTAATAGGACACCGTTGAGGAGCAAGTGATGCAACAAAAATCCATCCCTAATGGGCACATTTCATGTGGAAAAATGCAGTTTAAGAGTAAAAGAAGCAACCGATTCAGAATGGCACATGATTCACTGCATCTTGTCTGTGATGGATAGTCAATGAAGCATTTAGATGTTTCCACTAATTAGCTTTTTATGATAAGTAGATGTTCGTAAACTACAATACAGAGTTAACATATCTTTTGTCGAATAGTCTTATTCAGCCAACCAAACATTTAAAGCAAGTGGACACTACCAAACCAAAAACACTTTCCCAGCTGAAACTCATACAATCTGGCAGTAATATTGCACAAGTAATATACTTTGATTTGTCCCCAAAGGAAGAGACATGTGCATTATATCTAGAATTTAATCCAACAAAATCATGAAACATAAACAAGTGAACAAACACAATTATTGGAACATCAAAGGGAACTAAAACAAAAGGCAACAAACTCAATTAAAAGTTAAAACTAGTCGCACCTCGTGCTTGCACAAGCCCCTTTGGTAGGTTGACCATTTACTCTCAATTCATGTTCTTCATCTGAACCAGAGGCCTCCGAATCATCGTCGTCAGTTTCGGTACCTCCAATCTGTCCCACGGGGTTACCCAGACCACCTCCATTTAGACTAGCACCAGGTTCGCTAAGTCTAGAAGCCTCACTATCACTGCCTGTTTCCATACACAAAATTGGAAGAAAAACAGAATATAAGATCAGCTATAGAGTTAACTGTTCAAAAAAGAATTTATGATCAGCTATAGAGTTGACATTTCTGAAGGACAATTCATTTCAAATCTCACTTATATGTGTTAGAAGTCCCGGTCTCGCCCTAAACAACTTAGAATTAGAAATAACCATCTTAAGGAAATCAAAAATTATGGAATACAAGAGCAAATAAAGAACATAAAACATCCAGCAATAACTTTTGATAACCAAAATGTCAAGCAATAATGTCCACAAAAATTAAGAGTAAAATGCAGAAATTCTCACTAGTCCTTAAGGCCTTACCTTCATTTTCATCATCAGACGCACCATGAGCTTGCTCAACATCATCTTCATTTTCTTCTGAGTCTGTGTTATATTCTTCTCGTTTTGTCCTACAATTGCACGCAATTCACAAACCATTTTCATGATATAATCCCAAGCAGCTTAATGGTTCCAAAATACATGAAAAGAGGAGATGATCAACACATGCTACAACCATTAGAATCCGTGGTTTCAAGAAGGTCCTAATAATCCAACAAATTTCAGCAATCACAAAGAAACTAAGTAAATGGGGCAGAGGATTCATATAACTGGCCTCACCTAGTTTGAATTGATGCATACTTGTTGCTTTACAAAGAGCATAAGCAATTATTTGCAAAACAATTATTACTTAATAGGTACCCAATTCGACGCATAAAAAGGATACATAAACAACACAATCCTCATGAATCATGATGCCTTGAAGCAGCAACAATTCTTAATTCACTGGCTTATCAAGCCTAATAGTTAGATAATGTACAGAGAATGGAAGTGCAAAAGTTCCTTCACATCAGAAAAGACTTCCTTTCCTAAAGTACCTTATGTGGTGGATTATGTCTTGTTATTTTGTTTGTGTACCAAAGATGTCGACTTTGCTTTAATTTAAAGAATATAGATCTCGATAGTCAACATAAAAAACAAACCAAATACAAAAAATTGAAGTAACTCAAAACTTTTCATTTTTTACAACAAATAAAACCTGCGGTTGACAATTCAAGCAACCACCATCACAAGTATTTGATAGATACAAGCAACTATGTTTTTACCTCAATGACTCCAACAAACTGTCATACATTGTTGGCTCCTTACAATTCAAAGCTTCTTCTTCTTCTTGTTCCTTTTGTGCATCAAATTCTTCTATCTCCGAGTTTTCTTCTCCTGAATCATCTATTAACCCACCACCCAAAAAGAAAAAGATTAAAAAAACGAAAACTTTCAGCAAATAACAGAACACAAACAAGGAAAAATCGGTTCTTTTTATTACTCTGATTATCCCATTTCATACATCACAGCTACTAAGCAGTTTCTTCACTGTCATTTTGTCAATATCTTTCTAAATATTTCAATAAAAAAAAATCAAACTTTATTTCCACGAAAGAAGTCTAGTAGTACACAACCACACTAATCTATCTACCACAACCTTCAAAACTCGGGGATGATGGGCCTGCCACTCTACCCTTCTCTACTTAAATACCAAATGGACTTGAACCCCTCAACCTTAGCCAATTGAACTAACCCCTGGGGGCCATGTTTACAATTTAGTATAAATATATATTCTTTAAGAACCCCCGAATTCTTTTTGGAATGGAAGGAGCACTTAAACTACATTTATGGTTTGAATGAGTTTACCTGAGACACTTGGAGAGGGGCTTCTATTGAGCTTTTCTTCTCTTCCAAATCGACCATTCTTCTTCTTCTTCATATTCGGGTTCTTTGTAAAAGGTTTCTGTTCAACTCTTCTATTCATGCCTATATCAAATTTCAGACACGAAAAGAAAAAAAACGGATAAGTAAAACAGAAAATTGCAAAACAAACAAAAACAATACTAATTGATATTGAGGAGTAACAACCTCGTTTTCTGCCAAATCGTTGGTTGCCCATTGTGCTGCAATTCAATGGGGAAAAGTGTTTGCTTCTTTTTGTGCTTTTCGAAGGGTTTAAGAGAAGGGTTTTAAGGTTGTCTGAAATTCTTGCGAATTGGGTACCGTTTGATGAACCGGGTAAGATTTCGACCGGTTAGACGGCGCCGAAGGCAGGAATGTTGGAAACCAAACCCAAACTGAAACGGAAGCTTAATGGCTTGTTGATATCAGGTTAACGGTTTAACGGACATGGAATAGTGAAATTTTTTTATTAACGGCTTATCGATTTGGGGCGGATTATTCAATTTTCTTAACCTATAATTCGTTAACCCCTTAAGAATATATATATATACATATAAAATTTATTTTTATCCATGTATATATTAAATAATCAAAAACTCTTCTTCCTCTAGTACTCTATCAAAGTGAATTAGAACAAAAGAAAACCAAATAAAAGGAGTCATCTAACTGTGATAAAGTGACAGAATTTATTGTCTGAAACAAGATAACAACACCAGTTACACCACTACTTCATCAACTTTGCCTGGGTTTTAAGGCATCCTAGAATTCAAAGCATGACGAACATTTGTTTTAACAACGGCCAATTGGAAATCTTTCCCATGGACTAAGGCCAATGTGCATAAACATAAATAAGATTCTAGACAGATGATTTACCCATCACGATGTCTCTTCTGCTTCGTCCCTCTTAGTACGTCGACCACCTATTTAAACATACAGAGGCTAAATTTTATTTTATTTTGATTGAATTAGGCCGATAAACCGCCCAATAAGAGCTAAACCGATACCAATCCGCCCGATATCTTATCGGGTGGCTAGCGGATTAATACATTTAAAAACTGATAACCGATAAGCTAAATCGTTAAGAGTAAATAACCGCTCAATCCGCTCGATAAGCAGCCCTAGCCGAAGGTGTTATTAAATCGGGTTTTCCGAATGAGGAAATAAGGCATAGTGCCTATCAAGGCCAAAATAATTACCTGGTGTTGCCCACTTGAAAGCTAATAACAATTCCTACTTATACATCACAAACTTATTACCGAACTATTTAATTTCTTATTTCCCCTTTAATTTGCTTACCCCAGGTGAGGGGCGTGTAGAAAATGCAAATTTATTTCCCTTTTTGTTTTATTTTATAACTTGAATCACATTACTTTTTACTATCTTTCCGTCTATAATAAGTACTTTGACTGTAGAAATATATATTAATAATTATTTAAAAACTAAAAATAAAAATGAAATAGGATATTCGCAGTGAGAAAAATGGACAAGAGAAATAAGTTGATCGGAGAAACTCCCGGTTGCCGTGCATACCACAATTTCAAACTCCAGATCTGGACTTTTGTGTGTGTTTGAAGACCCACCATTGTTGAGCTTGAATTCTTGAATTTAAAATTTCTTTTTGAAATTTTATTGTTTGATTCGAAGTGGGTGTTATAAAATACTTTTTATAGTACCTTTTGAGAAGTTCATATTGAAATTTCGTCGCATTTGAAGCTTATTTGAGGTGATTCGAATCGAATTTTTCAACTGAAAATTGTAAAAGAAAAACGTAGTAACCCAACAGTATATATATACTATAAAAGTATACCGCCATATTATACAGTTTATTGCAGCATAATGCAATAATATACTATAATAATACGTAATTTACTATAATAATATACAATATATGACAACATTATACCATAATAGTATACAATATACTGCAATAGTATACTGTTATAATTGGATCTTTTTTCATCTTTTTGAAATTTCCATGTCCTTTTTCAAAATTTAAACGAAGTTCTCATTTGTTTTCAAATACTTCTCTAAATGAACTATTTAATGGAATTCCATGGAGGTATTATTCATTGCATAAGCTCTCACTGAGTTAATTAGATTATGTGACAACTGATATTATTTCAGTTTAATAATTGAATTAAAAAAAATTAAACTCGTTGCGTACAATTGTATACCCTGTTGGTTTAACCATACACTATATTGGTATCATATGTTAGTTGGAACATTTTGGTTGCATTAGCTACATTTAATTGGTACACTATTTGATTTTTCTTTAGTAATAGTATAATAGTACAGTAGCTTGAATTTTGTTAATTTTCCTTTATGCATGTGTATTATGTTATCATTTTGATTTTTTCTTTATGCGTTTGTTTTATATAATAGTATTATAGTACAATTCTTATATTAATATGTGGTACACTATTTTTTTATTTTTCTCTTTATGCATGTGTATTATGTAATAGTCTTATAGTCATATATAGTTGCATGGAATTAATTAGTAGAATTGTATATCCTATTGGTATAATTATATGTCATATTGGTATCATATGGTAGTTGGAATATTTTTTGGTTGTTTTAGCTGCATTTTTAAGTGAATTCTATTCTGAAATGATGTATATAATCATGTTTTGCTGTGTTGGATTTCCTTGTACCTATGGACATATATTTTGTGTATTATGTAATAGTTTTTATAGTTATATGCAGTTGTTGGAATGACCCCGTACAACTATATACCCTATTGGTATATCTATATACTATGTTGGTATAATATGCTAGTTGAATCATTTTTTGATTGTATTAGCTGCATTTAATTGGTACATTATTTGATATTCTTTAATAATAATAATATAGTACAATATCTTGAAATACTTTATTATATTAATATGCGGTACACTATTTTTTTTATTTTTCTCTTTATGCATGTGTGTTATGTAATAGTAGTATAGTCATATAGTTGTCGAGAATTAACCAGTAAAAATATATACCATATTGGTATAGTTATATGCCATATTGGTACCATATGATAGCTTGAATTTTTTTTGGTTGTTTTAGCTGCATTTTTAAGTGAATTCTATTCTGAAATCATTTATATGAACATGATTTGCAGTGCTGCAATTTTTTTGTGCCGATAGACATAGATTATGTGTATTATGTAATAGTTCTTATAGTTATAGGTCATTGTTGGAACAACCCCATACAACTATATACCCTGTTAGTATACGGAATGAGCAAGTTGCTTTGTGAATAGCTTGCAATGCGAGCATGTAATTTTCTCATACTTTTTGTGTCACGACCCAAATCTACCATGTCGTGATAGCGCCTAACGTGGAACTAGGCAAGTCGACTCATTTATCGAAACAACCCGATATTCCAAAATAAAGGTTTCTGTATGCTATTTAATTAATAAAACTTCATAATATAATTCTTAATAACAACGTGCGGATGAAAAGCCCGACATCAGCGTGTCACAAATCATGAGCATCTACCAAGGACTGTCCTGTAATAATAAGACTAATACAGTCTGGAATAAAACAACTAATAACATCTATAGGAAGATAGGAGGGAGAAGAGCAAGGCTGCGATCGCCATGCATCTACCTTGCCAACTCCAACAGATCCGCGACAGATAAAAATCAACGCTCGCTAGCACGTCCAGCAACCGCTGGATCTGCACACAGGGTGCAAGGAGTAATGTGAGTACTCCAACTCAGTAAGTAATAAAAGTAAATAAAGACTAAGCAGTAGGAAACACATAAAATCCACATCATGAAATCTCAGTAAGTACAACATGCTTTCAAATCAGTATATGAGTCAAATCATCTCGTTTAAAATCCAGTTTCAATAAACCGTTTAAAACATCTTTCAACGTTTCCAACAGAGTGATGAAGCAGTGAGTAAAAATGTTGAAAACATAAACAGCCCCTCGGGCAAAACCTCACTCGTGAACAGCCCCTCAGGCAAACATCATATCACTCACTCAGGATACCCATGCTCACTGGGGTGTGCAGACTCCGGAGGAGCTCCTTTAGCCCAAGCGCTATAATCCGCGCGGACAACTCACGTGCTGCACGGACAACTCACATATTATAGTATCAATATCAGAATCCGCACGGACAACTCACGTGTTATACTCTCAATATCCTCACAATCACAGTCCCTCGGCCTCACTCAGTCATAAACTCTCAAGCCACTCGGGCTATCAGGAAAAAATCAGGGTGCTCAGCCCAAACAACATTTTATATGCATCAAAACGGTGAAATGAAGAATGAGTTATGAAATCAGTAAACATAACATGACTGAGTATAGATTTTCAATCAAAAACAGTGAGAGGATAATAAGAAAATGCCCCTAAGGGTCAAAACAGCTTTGGCACGAGGCCCAAATATGGCATTCAGCCCAAATTTATAGGAATTCTTTCTAAACGCATAAGTATCATATAGTTTTCAATCAAATACGCAACTTAATAGTTGCTACGGAACGGACCAAGTCACAATCCCCAACGGTGCATGCCCACACGCCCGTCACCTGGCATCTGCGTCACCTTAAAGTAGTGAAAGGATGTGAAATCCGGGGTTTCATACCCGTAGGACTAGATTGACAGTCATTACTTACTTCAAACCGGTCAAATCCCTACTCCGCGACGCCCTTGCCTCTAGAATCGGCCTCCAAATATCCCGAATCTAACCAAAAGCAATACAACGCAATCAATATAGGACAAGGACCCAATTCCATACGAAAAACTAATAATTTAGACCAAAATCCCAAAATTCACCCAAACCCGGACCCCGGGTCCACGTCTCGGAATCCGACAAATATCACAAAAACTAGAAAATCCTTTCACTCACGAGTCTATACATACCAAATTCATCGAAAACCAACATCAAATGGCCTCTCAAATCCCCAAATCAAACTCTCCAATTTCAAGCCCTAATCCCCTCAATTTCATCCCTAATTTATACTAATTTCATGCTTAAATAACTGAAAATTACCATAATCACAAGTATTAAGCTTAAGTAACTTACCTTAATGCAAACCCCCTTGATTCCCTCTTCAAAAACCTCCAAAAAGCTCCAAGTCCGAATAAAAATGGTGAAAAAAACTCAAATTTTGCGAAGGGTCCAATTTATACCTTCTGCCCAGGCATTTCCGCACCTGCGGCCCTTTTCTCGCACCTGCACAACCGCTTCTACAATCCAAACAACCACACCTGCGTTTTCACTTAGTCGAGACCGCTTCTGCGGTCTGTTCCCCGCACTTGCGGTCTCGCAGGTGCGCTCCACCTTCCGCACCTGCGGTCCAACCTCAGATTCCAAATCCCGCATCTACGGTCCCCTTTCACTTCTGTGGACCTCGCACCTGCGGTCCCCATTCCGCAGGTGTGG